CCTCTTCCCGGCCCGGCTCCCTACCCTACCGCAAAGATTGTTGCTGTAGTGCGAGTAAGTAAACCGAGTATACTAACCTCAACCAAAAATTAGACTAACAATAAAAACATTATGAGCGCCTCTGCAGAAAGATCCATGCGGTGTTGTTTCCAACGCAGTTCAAATCACTCATTCAGGAAGCTGCCCGATACGAGGAACAAGAAGAAGGAAGCGCTGGCGGGGTGGCGTGGCGCGGCGCCGTGACCAAACAAAGCAGAACGCATGCGGGCCGTGTTCCGCCGCGGTCTGTCCATCCGCGTCGCGAGTGAGTCAGTGGTCACCGCCGGGGCTCGCACTCAACCAAGTTTTGTAGAATTTGTAGAAAAAAAATTGGATTGGGGTACAACTCTTGTGTCAAAAAGTGCTGGCTGTAAAGTTTGGCTTCGGAAAAGTGAGTTCACAAATCTTCTCAACCGTCCCGGCGTCGATGTCGAGGTTAGTGTACGGACATGTTTCATTGTTGTACAATTCTAACTCAATGGTAATGACCCAACTGTCGTTATAAACCTTTGGAGAGAAAAGTGGTACCAGGGTGCTAGATGATGCATAGGCCGGTTTTGAACTGGTTGAAATCTAACGACACGGATCCTAACCTAACCTCTCTGGAGATGTGCCCGGTGCCGGACTGGACTGGACATCTAAAACGTTTTCCTTTGCTAAACCCCAGCGTGTGTTGCCGACTAGTCGAACTCCCCGTGCAGTGCGTAAAAATTCAAACATAAAAACAAATAATTTGGACGGCGCGAGGAGTATTAGAACCCCCATCTCACCGTTCCAACCTAGCAGCGATATCAAAGAGCCACGAGGCCGGTGTAGAAACGCCAGGTGAGAGGGTGTGGTGATGGAACCGGTTCTTCTCCCGCTCAAGCTACTGCGGTGACTCGTGCCTTTAGCCAAGCTCGCCCGGCCACCCACACTGTGGCGTCGTAGCCGCGTCGGTAGAGAGTCGGGCCCGTGTGCCGCAAGTCAAGGGTTCGAATCCCCCATCCCAGTCACATTTTTCTGAACCGGTCGAACTCTTGGAGTTGAACTTAAACCCGTCATTCCAACGGGGCACTTTCGTGGATGAACGAACGGTCTGGTGGTTAACGCTGCCCCACTGGACCGGGGGTGACGATGACTCGGCACTGGGGTCCCATTAGGGGCAAAGGTTCGACCCCCGGCGAAAGCGTGCCGGGTAAGGGCCATCCCAGCCACAGCGGGAGTGGTAACCCGTGTGGAATTGATAAGTCCTTAGAATCTGGCTCATTGAAGGGATTCCACGACTCGGAAGCTTTCCGCTCGGATCGCATCTGGGTGCAGTACAGGCTAACCACCGTACGCCCGTCTCCTCTCTTTCTAACTCCCTCCGCCCTACCCCCCATTCCCGGTCAAGCGGACTGGTGGGAACCTAGTCGATGGCTGTAAACTCCGGTGTGAGTGAGATAGTCAAGAAACCCGGCCCTCAGCTGGGTGCCTGAAAACACCGGATCCCATCCCGAACTCCGAAGTTAAACAGGCGGGTCCTCGTGTCAAAGCGGGGTGGGTAGGGCCCACTATTTTTTCATTTTCATAATTTTGTAGGTAAAATGCATCCGGCTCGAAGAGGTATTTTAACTGCCGGTTGCACGGTTACCTCCAATCGCCATAAGAGGACCGCGCCCAACTTGTGCTCTGGTCGTACTGATGAGAGAACACCACGCTTTTCAGTCAGTCGGTGGGCTATTCAGACGGACCATAGACTCGCTCATCTTCTGCAGAAGTCGCCCCAGCTCGCTGCCTCGCTCCCCATGGGCTTCACGATGCGTGCGTGTGTGTGTGTGGGGGGGGGGGGGAGGGGCATCCGTTCTGCCGCATTCCCCGCGCACTGTTATTCTGGCCAGGCGCATTTCCTGCTCGATTTACATGTTGAGAGAGAGACGCGTTCGCCCGCCTACCCCTACCCCTCCCCCGTGCTGCCCGGGGGGCTCCGCTAATCCCTCGGGGGCACCCGGGGCAGCACAATGGAGTCAAACTCCCTTTACGCCCCCCCCTCTCTCTCTCTCTCTCTCTCTCTC